GTGATGTTGTACAAACCTGAAGGTAACGTAATAGAATAGAGGATAAGCTTTTGACTCGTTACGCGATGTAACGTATGGGAGTAGTGTAACCGTACGAGATCGGCTGCTTCCGTTGCTAATCGCGAGCTCCCATCAGCCGTACCCGGTGCTAGGACGCCTTGCTTCACTTTATGTAGGCAATTAAGGTGCCTGTATAGGTATTTACAGTTCGTGTAGAATTGCTTCATTAATTCCAGGTGGCGCATCATCTTGTCTAAGCAGATAATTTCACACAAAATTTGCGCCGCACCATATATGCATTCTAGGTTTCGGTATTTGGACAGTCCTTGTGAACTCACTATGCCAGATCCCTCAGGGAGATTACGTGTTCCGCTTCTCAAAAAGGTCTTCCTTTTCGTTTGACGATGGAAGTATTTCTGTTCCGATACGTACGCTACCAGTGCGCTAAACGTCTATGTGAACGTTTCTCAAGCAACTTCTGGGCAGTGTTCAGTCAAGGAGGTCCAAGATGTATCCTTAACAAGCGTGGGTAACACGTTGTAGTGCGTGACACAATGTACTTCTTACTCCACTTCAGGATATACCGCATAGCAAATATAGTCCAACAAGAGAGTAACATGGTCCCTTCGTCTCCATGGTATCCGTCTAACTATTCCGTCGACCATGTTGTACACATAATCAAGTATCGGCGGTTTGTTAGCAGTCCGAAATCTCTTGGGATAGGTTAAGTGGTTGCACATGAGGCAGCTAGAAACTAACTCTTGCAACGAACCTCTAGATTGTGAGTTATCGGTTGCTGGTATTTCCAGACCATGCACCTTAAAGTCGCCCGCGATCAGAATATAACTGCATGACTTTTTCAGCGAAATCTTCAAAACATTTTCAGTCTAGATTCTATTTTAACCTTAGAGTTGGCCGTTTAAAGTAACCTTGTAAATAATCGTCCCTTACTTAGACTAAATGCTACGGTTGCGCTAAGAGTTACGCTGTCCCTATCTCGTACGCATATCATGGCGCTCAACCTATCCACACTGCAACGGCAATACACGAAGATATTTGGAATATAATAAGATGAGCTCCCTCCTCCTTTCACTGTATACTTCTGAACCAGCATGCTAACCCGATAAGTATTGATCAGTCACCTCGCGTTCTTTTTGTCAGCAGTGAGGCCGTTTCGTCTGCCTTACAGCAAGTGATTGAGGCTGATCACTTTGAACTGATCAACTGTTCCGAATGGGTACACTATATGGTTACCATCCTCTAGAAAGATGGCAGAGTGCGAATATGGAAGGACCGGCAGGCCCTCAATCGCCAACTCGGGATCGAGAACTTTGTAGCTCTACCGGCCGATAAACTATTGGTCAAACTAGCGAATCCCGAATTTTTCTAAATTACGCATGGTGAAGGCTTCCTTCTGCATGCCACTTGTTCAACAGTCACGACCACGGACAGCATTTACTACAATTGTTGGGCTCTTTTATTTGAATATATTGTTCATGGATTTGAGCTCAGCCACAGCTGCTTGGAAGAAGTTTATGATCCACTCGCTTGCCAATTTACCCGGTCACATAGCATAGATGGATGATACCCAAGTACTTCGTATGACACTAGAAGAGCATGTTCATAAGTGCACGCAGTCGATTAAGCTTGCTTGACCTTTGCTTAAATCTCGAAAGTGCAAAGTAACCCTAACGGCATGGAGTTTCTGGGCCACATTATTACAGCGCGTGACATCAAGCAGAGTGTTGAAAACGCGGAACGTCATTGTGTTTCCTCCTCCACAGAACACTACGTATGTAAAGCGTTTCTGTCTGTGTTCGTAAAACCTAAGTTATTTACAGGACTACACGAATATTGCTGAGCCGCAGCAGGAAATGACAATGGAAAAGTGCATTTTATGGTACCAACCCCAACAAGCGGCCTCCAACGAGTTAAATGTCGCATCGATTCCACACCAGTCTTGGTGATATTCTACAAAACACACCCCACCATTATCTCCACTGAAGCCGTAAGGGTTGTTTTGGGTGCCACACTAGCCCGAATCCAATATGGGCAAAAAAGCATTATTGTTGAGGCCTCAGAAAATTAGCTGCAGCAGGACTTTCTTGCTCTGCCCAAGAAAAGGGAGCACTTGGTTAGGTTTGGGCCTATGAGAATTGAAAGCTATTCTTGTTTCCATCGCCACTCGCTCTTCGTGATGACCACGCACCCGTGGAACTAATGGCATCAGGCCGCTGCAAACACAATGCAGATACGCAAGAGTATTAACAGACGATTTTCAAATCGAATTTCGTCGAGGGCGCGGAAATCTAGCAGCAGATGGTCTTCTTTGGCTGTTACTCTACGTAACGGAAAGTAATGAGGAGGTCAACGTGCGGTTACTGGTCTCTTCCTTGAATTGAGAGAGAATCACCGTATTGACTGGGGATGAACTTTAGAGCGCGACTAAAGTAGATGTCACATACTGCAGTGTCCAACGCTTCATGCTAAACTGTTAGTCACATAATAGGAAGATAGCAGACTACCTTCGTCTATACTACAGTATTGTGTCACCAACTGGCATTCATGGATGGCTGTTTAATGCGTCGCTGCAGATTCGCTGCCGATCGGAGCTTAGGGAAAGAGATCCTGCTGTGGGCCCACGAAGGCCTCCCTGGCATTGTTCGCACAAAACAGAAATTGGACTCGTTTCTGGTGGCTCAGAATGTCACATGACATCAAAAAGTGGTTCATGAGTGCTCTTCATGCCAAAGAGCAGATAAGAGCTCAAGACCGGTTTATACGTCTATACTAATAACTGACTATTATGTGCGACCGTGGGCAAAAACAGCTATTGATGTCATGGGCCCCTTCAACTCAGCGCCACAACATCAAAAGAACTGTTTAGTTCCGAGGTACTTTGATATTATATGCCCAGGAGTTCATTTGGGCGGAGAAGTGACTACTGCGAGTATTAGTAGATGGCCGAAATACAAATGTTCTTGTTTCGAGTAACCAGAGGAGGTAATGCCAGACAATGTTTTGCAGTTTAAAAGTTAAGAATTTCATTTGTTTTTATAACTTAATGCCATCCGACACTCACGTACTATCCCTTATAATCCAATGGCAAATGACATGGTCAGGCTCTTCAGGTGCATCCAAACTATTCGTCAATCTGGTGCGGCCAGCAAGATGGGATTCAACAAGCACTATTTTTATACAGAAATGAGAATCACCAAGCCACGGACAATGCTCTGTTTTAACATATGCCTGGGTGTCCTCTGAGGAGAAAGGTGAATGTCGCACTCCGTGCAAAACCCGAGAGCTGGAACATTGACAAAGATACCATCCCGCCCATCTGAAATATGTTACTCCACTCTAACTGAAAAACGTTCGTATTTGTCAAAAGGACAGAGCATGGTATCGAAACGCATAAGGATAATACGCGTCTTAGGGTCTGGCAATTATTAACTGGAAGATAACCGCAGGAGCAAAGCGAGGAGTTTATTTCCACATAGCAAGCGAGCGGATCAAATCCTACCTCCCTGCTCTGGCGAAAGTACGAACAACAACATGCTACTCAGGTCAGGCTACAAGACAAGGCCAGGTGCTCGACATGGATTTGATGCTCTGTTTGACTAAACGGGAGATGATGTATACCGTTCTTATCTGTTAAGAATCATCGTAATAACCGCATCCTTCACAGACGCATGCAGGTACACGATTGGCTGCTTCTCTATCGCTTCCTCTCTTCGCGTACTGGGGTTTGGCAGATATTTGGTAAAAATGCCTTGAGTTACTTGTTATGCGGTTGTTCCTGACGTGTAATACAATCACAAGACCAGAAATCCCTTTACTATTTACAAAATGCTAATTTGCTCACTGCTTCATGGAGGTCCCGGCAAATGCGCTTGCGACCTTGAAACACGGGTAGTATTCCTAAGTCAAGTCAAAGCGTAGCCTGGACATGGACTACACAGTGCCTGTAGTCCCAAGCCAATTTTCCACTTTCGGTACTCAACGATAGCTGCTCGGTGCATAAACAACTGCTTTACGCATCCAGGGTGCAAAAGTTCACTCTGGTACACACAAGTCACAAAAACCAAGATCGGCACCCAAATTACAGGGACTTTTTGTTGCACTATATGGCCGTATGAAAAGGTGTGGGCTTTGTTCGCAGTGCAAGGTAAAAAACTATCGGACGGGTAAATCAAAATTTGGAAAAGCAGAATGAAACGCCCGTCTGACAGATGTCTGCAGCTCGTGCTTGCAATGCGTTCACGGTCTGTTGGCGAGACGAGAGGGAAGAGCAGTAAAAATATTGGTTGGACAACCAGAGTGCAAGTCGTGTTTAGTAGATATGACCTACTGAGCTGGGATGGTCTAAAACGAAATGTCAGTATGCAGCTATTCGCTTGTCAGACAATGTTGTGATACTGTTGGGTTGTGGAGAATAGAAATGATATCCATAGTCAACCATGCCGTTCATTTTGCAGGTGTAAATTAAGCGCCTAGGTTTGTTTAAGCTGGTTTCTTCACAACCACCATTTTTCAGAATATTTCTTTGGGCGCAAAAGCAGTTCACTACTTATACGTCAAGTTTACATAGGGAATATAGCAAATAAATTTTGACAAAATACTAGCAGCTAGATAATAAAATAATTGTTATTCCTCCACCATAAATTCTAGAAGGAATACCTGATGCTTTTCCAATTAAGTAAAACAGCATGGGAGCCATGGTGTGCTCCTTTTATCTAAAAAATAACCACCTCACCCGTGTTGGATAATTCACGTCAGACGCTTCGTTTGTGTTGCTGCGCAGCCGTCATCCATATAATGGGGTTTATTTGTTCGAATCACATTCGTCTCGCCCAGCTAGCAATATCATTACCTGTACTGAACGAATTAGTACGTAAACGACCGCAGTTATTTTGTACAGCACCCAATCAAGTGATATATATATATATATATATTGGGAACGAACTGTCAAGCCTACTTTCTGTTTCGTTTCACTTTTATAGGAAGTGGATCAGTGTAAACAACTGGAGAAGAGCATGAGGCGAGTGAATAAAATGCACAAACTCACGAACGAGTTGTTATTCCAGTGTATCCCAAGAGGAGTGGCTAAAAAGCTTCAAAATGGGACACCAGCTATGGAAACTATACAGGTAGAATTTTGCTGAATCATATTTTATCGGTTTAGATTTGAGGTTGTTTCAGTAGCCAAAGCCTTGAACATGACTGATTGGGATGTAAGCTCATTCTGCTTGATTAGCTATAATTTTGATTAAACACGTTCATTAGGCTTTCCACTTCATAAATATTTATCCGCTTGACAGAAGGAGTCATTTGTACGGGGATTAGTTTTTCTAGTTTTAATCTAGCCTTCCATCACAAAAGCTAGAACCCACACAGCGGCCCCAAAGTAATTAACTAGTTCGCCTAATCAAATAGGCAGATTGGCGTCTGCAGTGGCCTTTCATTGTGATCCTCAAGAATTGCAAGTGAAAAAACTTATCTGTGACGTAATGGGGCACTGGTTTATGACGGTTATAGAAGCAGATCCTTGACAAGTCCTGTGAGGTGGTTAGGGGGGAAATTACTGGATAAACATACACTATCGATAAAAGAGCGCGCATGCTACATGATTCGCCGAGTGCTTTAAGGTGTGTCACAAGTGTATTACTACCTAGAGTTTACGAGGATTATGATACTATTCACTGTTAGTTCTGCACTAACACCATCATCTGATATTCATGGACTATATCTCGTAGTATAAACTTCTCATTATAAAGCCAAGTAGTTTTTCGAATAGTGCTAAGGTGGAGGCAGAATTATATGCGCTGTGATGGAGTTTCAGGGCTGTGACAGAGGGTGAAAGTGTTTCGTCGATATTTCAGTCGGCTGCTCTGCGTGGTCAGCTTAAACTAGTGGCATCTCAGAGATGTGTTTGGACTCAGCTTCAAAGGATGGTGGCAAGTAGGGTTGGGGTTTTTTTTAGGATATGATACATCATTGTGTGACCTCCCGGTAGACGCCGAGAACGTCCACTGTACATTGTCTTTTGTTGCTAACCATTGTGTAGTACTGAGCGCGGGGAGATGGTGCTTCTACCAAGGTCTTCAAGTTTGGGTGGCGTATTCTGCGTGCGGACTCACGTACGTGCTTTGCATTTGGGCAAAAATTGAGTCATCGAACATTCGGAACGCTCCACCAAGGAAGTAGACGTTGTGATGCGCTCTCGATATGTAGAAGTCGGACTGTGCTTCGAGCAACCCTCCATTTACATTAAGAATCAAGTGTTGTTTATGTTTCCAAAACATTGCAGATCCTTCCAATCTCGGGTTCGGCGTACATCTACTTAGCCCTGTATCTCATTGCACCATCTCAAGCTTGCCAAGCAGTCCTGATTGCCGCGTTTACGACATTCGGCCAAACGGCTTCACCACCCCCATTCTCACACTCCGGTCCGGTGTTCGTTTGCGCATTGTTGGTAGACTAGTTCTGACACTTCAACTCCCTCGACAAATTCTAAATCTGGCCAATGGTTTTCCCCCGTTCTCATGTTTTAGCCCGGTAATGTGGTTCACATGTTTGGCCACCACTACAACAGAAGAGCTGGTATGATTTCTTTGATGCTTTTTCGGTCTGCCTCAAACAACCAAGGTCCCTTTGGCTGCTATTACAAATAAGCACATCATGGACAAGAAAAACAAACTTTAAATTTCACCCATCAGTCAATTGGTATTCTCTTACGGAAGTGTCATGATGTTTGCTGAGGCTTGTTTTGACACACAACGGCGACAAACGCTTCGTTACACATAGTCTCCTTTGTTTCCATCGTTGCCTTCAAATCGTTTTGAAGCGCAGACAGATCAAACATTGAAGTAACTCGTGTTTTTGAGACAGAAAAAGCAGGTTCGCTTCCATGTTGCAATAGGCCAATCACAGCGACGCTGTCAGCTCAGCGAAGAAGCACTTCTGATCCAGCACATTGCATCGCACCCATCTCACCTCATTCACATATCTGCTATACCCTTATTCTCGCCCGCACAAGCGGCTCTCCGTCTTTTTCTACGGCTTATGACAGCCTAGAGCGCTAAAAATAAAAACAGCCTTGATTGTTTCATGTTGACAGTAGAACATATAATCACCACATTTTTCCAGCGTGTGATGAAGTGATAAGCGAAAGATGGTAAATACAGATGATAAGCTACAGGGTATGTTGCAAAGTAATGAAGGAGTACAGATTGAAACAGGAATAATCGGGGTGTTTAATAGGTCCTATTCCCATTCAGTTTCTTAGAAGTATAACAAAATACGCGAGGGGAAGAAGCCGACCTGACAGTTAGGTACTATTCACCGATAATATACATCATCCAGAAAGTGAACAACAGCGTAACTTAGCACCAGAGATGATTAATCCGCATGAAAAGAAGTTAGAAAACGTACCAATGGGAACTAGTACTTAATAAACTAAACATATGCAGGATATACAGGGAGGAGAAAAGAAAATAGGTTATCAACGACATCGGGTGTAAACTTGAGTAATGCAACTACAAGAGCACGGAAACTATATGGGACATCAGCCGACCGCTCACTGAAACTAGAGAACAATGTCGTTAGAACATAAATACATATAAAGGAAAGATAGCAGGAATACTTTTGTTATAAATATCATGTTATACTTTCAGTGACCTCATCGCGACGTCCCGGTTGGACAACTGTAACATACATGTGCATGTGCTGTATAAAAGGAACCTGTATTTTTTCATGTTTTCTAATCCTTATCGTAGAACGCTTCAAGAGCAAACAAAAAAGCAAACGAGTACATTGCTATGTGCGAAGCCGTAGAACGATCTGGAGACAAATGTGAAATTAAACAGGATAGGTACTATCAGGCTATACTGCGGCACAAGTGGAACTTAAACGATGTTTCTCTTTTGGCACCCTTTCTGTTACGAATGTACAATCTGGACAAGAATTTGCTTAAACTCCAAGTTCTCAGTTCGTGCATGTCGTTCCTGCGTAAAATTGTACTCTCAAGCAGGGTAGCTGAACCAATCCGCGTATGCCATCGGTCAACGCTAACGATGGCTTCTATATGAGACTGAAGGCACTTCGTCGTCCGAGCGCTGGTTTTTTACTGCCACAGTTGGCTTCCTGACAACATCCCAAGACTGGCACAGTCAGTTCCTACGGCAGACCATGAGGCAAGCCAACAGGAACAGAATTCGAAACTAAATCACAGTCGTTCCAAGTTGCATTTGGACTACTCGCCTTGTGCTTGAATTAAGGCAATTAATCTCTACTGTGACCTCCGCACAAGTTGAGTTTGCCCTCAGTCATTGCGATCACACGGACCGTAGCGCAAATAAGTAAGTACTGGCACATTGGGCTAACTGATCCACTACGCACAGTTCATAACTGGCATGGTAGTAGAAGAAGAGCAGGGCTGTATCGCAGTCAACTGCCAATTATGCAGGTTCGCGGCTGTCACCCATGGCGAAGTGACGCTATCTGCTGACATCCGGAATTCATGGTGACGGAACCCCTCAGGGGTCCGCCTGGAAGGCGCACCACTGACGAGACACAGAATGTTGAAACATCGATGTATGGTGCCTGTCCAGACTAGCCAAAGCCTACTAACTGAGAGTGGAGCATGATGAACTGTCTCTAAACGAAGAAGTGTTTCGGTGCTGCGACTCAGTGTTAGAAGGGACAACACCGAAACATGTAGTAGATGTTTAGTCAAGCCGATCAGATTGATAGGTACCAGTGAGTTATCTTCCAACGCAGGAGCCATGAATCCACCGTTCATTTATAGGTGTTCGGCCACCGATAACTAGCAGTGTGAGTGCAAGTTTGATAAGCCCAGTTGAATTTTGGAACCCCTGCTTTTTGTTTACCCGCTCAGTCTCATTGTTTTTTGTCTTCGTAAACATACAAAAATCGTTTTTAAGTTTCGTCCTTCTCATTCGTTTTTTTGATGTCGAATCATTCTTGTTCTTACTTTGTTGTTTTAGGCATACGATTCAGTAAGCATCTGCTTCACTAAAGTGGTGGATTTTGGCGCCAAATGCGTGGAAATCAGTGCGCAACAAATAGTCGAGTTGCTGAATCAGATGTACACGTTGTTTGATACGCTCACTGAAATGCACAAAGTCTACAAGGTAAGAAATCATAAGCGTTTTTAATGTTGGATGCACATGCCATGTGGATGAGACTAAGTGAGTAATGGGGCTTCTCGGGAGTGGTTTTCACTGCTTCAAAAACGGTTTAACAAAGTCAACTCTGACAACAGAAATTAACGTTTACTTAAACGCTGTTTGCATTTGGATGGCTCATGTAAACGCTGTCTCTGTGAATCGTACTATGAAGCTGTGTAAAATGATGGCAAGTATAGTGAAATGGTTGTCCTTTGCTCACTTAGACGGCTGACTATCAATCGGAACTCGAGATCGGTGACTCCCCAGGGGAAAAAGAGAAGGTCGGATCAGACGAGCAGGGTAACAGGGTTTTACTGGACAATCATACGGTTCATCATTAGGATAAGCCAAAAAGTTCTTGGATGGTATTTAAAGTTCACATCGAAAACTCCAAAAAGATCAACTTACAGTCAATCACGTAATGTCACCCTAATGTTAATTTGCGGCTTCACTCGATTGGCTCTCTTTTCGCCACTATCCATGCCGCTGAGTTTGGCTCGTCTGACTTGCCTTGGCTCCGTAACGACGATAGGCGCATCGGTTGTTCGCTTAGGGTTTTCTTTCCTAACCCTTTCCCCTTCTAGTTGTGTTGTATGGTTTCAGCTTCGGGCTGACCTGCACGGGTGACACAAATTTGAGTCACCGATCCAGCTTCCGTGCTGTCAGGTTTCGAGAAGAATCAGGTGGTTGATGCCTTGAGGAACTTTGCAGAGTTCCTGCCACAACCGGCGTCGACCAGTATGTCCAGAGGTAAATGCTCTGCTGGTGCTTGTTGTCATAGTTGTTCACCAATCCCAGCCCCCAGCAGCTGCTTGGCATGTCTCACCCAAATTGCCATCCACACTTGGATACTGTAGGTCACGTCACCACATTTATTTGGCACATGGCCCATAGCCCATTTGGGATAGTGGATGCGATAATCTCGCCAGAACTTGTTGGCCAACATGAAAGGCTCGCTTTCGAGCACCGTGTCGAATGTTGAATTGACGTTCCATCTGAAAGTTGCGAGACAGTAATTGTTCCTTCCTGTGTCGGGGGGCATGGTGCCGCACACGGATTTTCATTTGAAACAGACTTTCAGCCGGGGATAATGTATTGATATCTAAAGATTTGGCGTTGTGCAGTAAATCAGAAGAAATTTGTCAAGAATCTCCGCCTAGGTACCTTCTCCCTTCATTTGTAGAAAGGCACTTCGGAGTGTATCTGCAAAGCGTTCTGCTTGGCTGTTTATAGTTGGAAAGGTGGAAAACTTACATAGACGATCGCGTTTCTGCGACAGATGTCAACAGATTCAGGGGAGGTGAAATGAGTATAATCATCCGAAATCAACGGATGGGGAAAACAGAAAAAGAAAATAACTATCGAAGAGCAGAGACAGTGGTTCCTGCAGTAGCTTTCACCATTGGAATCAGCTTAGGGCAATTACTTTGAGTATCGACAACGATAAGAAAATGATGGCCGTCCATTGGACCTGCAAACTCGGTGTGTTCTCTGGACGACGGTTCCGTATTCCCTAGCTGCTTAGAGACACAAGTATATCGAGGACACTTTTTCGTTAGATACACAACCTAGGAATCCATTTAGGGTCAATCCACATAGCGTCTTAGAGATTTCATGCGATTAATTCCTGGGTGGCTAATCTGAAATTCTCGGCGTATTCTCTCTTGAAGCACGACAGTAATAACGACGAGGTCTAAGAGCAGCAGACAGTGGTTGAGCATAGATAGTACTCCCCTCCGTTGGTGGAGTTATCGAAGCTCCAGCGTTGTAACTCTTAAGCCAGCCATACAGGTGGAACTCGCTCACGTTGACTCGCTTACCGCACCATTTCAAACGTCACTGGTAAAGCACAGAGAAAGTCAGACACAGTTTGATTTACATGCGGTTCCATGGATATTTGCGTAACAATCAACTATTCTGGTTCTTAAAGTTGTGTACCATTTAAACCAGATAATGCGTCCGCCTGGCCAATGTAGTGTGTAGGTCGGCAATTGACATCGAAATCGTAACCAAGTAGGACCGTTACCCAACGTTGGAGACACTTAGCCGTACAGACCGGATTGCTTTTCCTTGATCCAACGGTTGCAACCAAGGGTTTGTGGTCCGTCAACAGCGTGAATTTGCGTTCATAGAACATTTTATGAAATTTATGGCCAAAGTTTCCTTCTCTGTCTGCCAGTAGTTGCGTTCCGGTGGAATGAGTGATCTGGCTTCGTGTGTCAGTTTTTTCCCACTCATCGGGGAAAATGTCGGACATGATTGCTCCACTTCCGTAGTCTGATGCACCAGCAGCAACCACGAGCACCAGCTCCGGATTGAAATGTGTTAGCAGTAGGTCAGAACAAAAAATACACGACATCAAATGCGGCTTGACATTCAGGAGACCATACAAATTTGTGATCCTTTACCAGAAGTTCATTTAGCAGTCCTCGTGGCCGATGCACTTGGAGCATGAATGAGCTGTAATGACGGATCAACCCCAAGAATGACCTCAGCTTCGTGCTATCGCCATGGAGAGGCATCTGCTTTATGACACCAAAGTTGGAAGGAAGGAAGACGATCATCCTAGTCGACGATGAAGCCAAGAAACTTTACACACTTCCGTCTGATATTACACTTTTATGCTTTCATGTGGAATCCGTAGACATTAACGTGGTTCAGAACTGTATCCAGCCTTCCCGTCAGCTCTCGATGGGTAGAATATGATGTCACCCAAATAAGCTGAGACCCCAGATAAGGCAGTTAACATCGTATCCATAATTGGTTGAAAGATCGCGGGAGCTGATTTGACACCAAATGGCGAACGGTTGAATTGGTAAAGTCCTCGGTACGTATAGATGGTCAGTAACTTCTTTGAAGCATCCTCGACTTCAATTTGAAGATAAGCATCTGATAAATCTAGGTTTGCAAAGGAAGCGCCACCGCCGAGCTTCGCAAAAATCTTTTGGGACTGGCAATGGATACTGGTGCAATTGTAAAGCAGTATTCAATCTTCTACAGCAGTCAGCATAGATACGAACGGTTCCCTTAGTCTTCTTGTGAACAACAGTAGTTGCTATCTATGCTGAATAGTTCACAGGTTGGATGAGGCCAGGTTGCTTCATAATATCACCTTCCGCACCAACAATCAGAAGCGCAGCGTATAGTAGCGGTTTTTTGGGTCGGAATACCGGCTTGACACCATCTTTGAGAGTATGGCTTGCTTTGGTCCTTGTACAACTTCTCAAGTCATTGCGAAACACGGACGGGAATTTGCTTCATAGCTGCTCGATCAGGTAACTGTTTGATTCATCCACTTCCGAAGAGCATTTCTTATGTCCGAGCTGGAGGTTAGTACAGACTTGACACAGGTGGATGTGGAACAGGTGGCACTTCTGGATCCAATCAAGATCAACCAGATTCAAATGCAAAAACACCGTGATCTACACTGCGTCGTTTGCGCGGGCACAGCCAATAGCTGTTTCAATGTGCATCTCAAGAATAAGCTTAATCTGACGACCAAAAGCTTTGAAGGTAGCATTTTCTTTTGGGATAATGGACGGAGCCGCGAGAAACTGTCAGCTTTCGTACTAGATAATTGTGATATCCGAGAACGTATCTAAAGACGTACTTGCTTCCCATTTACGTGGACGCTGATGTACTTTCTGTGAGCCACATATGCACTGGAGTAAGCCGTTTGAACAGCGCTATAATTACGGAATCATTTGTGAACATTCGAATTCGGTCGCGGGTGTCCAGCACGTTAGAGTAGCAGTCCGGATCGACATTGGGCTTCCTTGTCTCCCCGTCTACGACAGTTCTGACAAACATGTTTCACGAATGGACATACCCGAATTAAATGTGATTCGCCACATTGCCAACAGGCAGTGGGGGGGCTATGGAATCTCTCTGAGCTTTTCATGACCAGTTTCACTTGGAAGAGCTTTCTTTGAAATGCTTTTCAATACACAAAGACTTGGAGTTAACTGTTGTCTCTCCAGCATAAGCGTGTCACGCCTGGGGTTTAGAAATTTTGGCATTCTGTATTGATAGTCTGGAGAGTCATTTGCGGGTCTTGTTTCAGTTTACTCAGTAGCCTGGTGCGAATGTCTGCATCGCATGTGGAATGTAGACCACAGCTAAAACTCAGACATTTGAACTGATCTGCCGTGATGATTTTGATATCAAATTTTTCGCAATCGCTATCCAAGATGTCAGCGTAAGTGACGTATTCGATAGCGTCCAACTTGGTGATGTTCAGGCAATGATCTCGCCTGTTGAATTTGGATGAGTATTTTCAAATATATGGCCAGAGCATTTGACAGTCTCATGAAAACTGCTGCCTCAAGGGTCATTGGGCAAAATAATATTGATATACCTGGAGTACTCTGTTGTCCAAATTTTCCTTAACAGCAATAGGAATTTCCCGCTGTCATCATGCCCACAAAGTCCAACGTAGGACAAATCGTCCTAAAGCTTGAACCAGAATTCAAGGGTTAGCTAAGTGAGAAAAATTAAAACGCACCGAAAACTCAACGAAAACACCGATTGAAATGCATGATTTCAAAAAACTCGTCAAATGATCACGTATAAACGTGCTGGTACTCAGGAAATCGGCAGTATTATTTTTATATATACATATATATATATATATATATATATATATATATATATGGTTGGCGGCATCCGGTTTCGGATTTGCCTGTCAGTGTGGCCATTCACAGGACACCTGCGCCTACACAGGGACCATGGGTGGCTTGCGCTGCACCACCTACAGGTCCAAGCGAACACACATATCCAGTGTAAACCCGAAGGAATAAGACAGCGACGCATGTGGATTGGAGCCACATTTCAACAACGGAGTCAGCCCACACTCCTTCACATGCAAACACAAGCACGTTGTATTTGAAGTATCCAGCGCACACAAGGTGATAGCTGGACCGTAGTCCGCTCCACACTGAGTGCATGGAGCCGCTCTTTGAGCC